ATATATGACGTCCAGTTTGGCGTTTTAGCTAACGTCATATGAGGATATCAAGGCTCAGCACCCACTTCTGCGTGATTCTGGAAGGTTTTATACACATGACTAATATACGGCCTCAATGTTATGCAAGCAACTATATAACCTAAAATTTCTCTAAAAGTTTTGCGTACTATTAATAGTTTGACTCACAAATTATTTAAACCCTAAAAAGGACAATACATGTGCGTTAGTGGAAGATGCATGCAGTTAAACTAATGGATGACAGAACCTCCGGAAGGCTAAGCTAATGGAGATTTCGTTCTGTAAGCGAAGTCAATGCATGCCGGAAAACCAAGGAGAAGCGTGTAGCTGGTTGTTATATGCGTGGAATCGTTATAAACGTGCACCTCATAACCTCTGCGACTATTAGAACCCAAGGTCTTCCGGTTAGTGGCTGAGGGCTGTCATTCGATCATGGGCGGATTATCAGTGGTGTGTTTAGCTTGTACGGAGAGGATATAAAGCCACTTGTCCTTCAGCCATGAAACCCGCATCAAATAGTTTTGTTTCATTGGACATCTCGACTGATGACCTCTAATTGGAGATGCCTACCACAGGCCGAAGGACACACATTCAATATCTTTGAGTAGCATGCTGCGCGTGTTCATCTGTTTTTTGTGTCACTTATGAATACGTCCTGTTCTGGTCAGTCAAAATCAATCATGGGGATCGAATATTTTTTCTTATCTCGGCAGGTTAACTCGGATGACTTCATTATTGAATACTGCGGGTTCTATTTACCAAGTATAAGCGTGTGGCTTTAGGTCGAGGTTTCGCTATTCGTATAGACGGTAATTATGTGGATAATAACTAGAGAGCTGGAAGTTTCGGTTCTTAGCGGAAAAACCACTTAATGATTCAACCGTATCTTTTCAGTCGTTTCTACTTGGGCTTGGGTCGTAAGTTCGCAGTATATCTAGGGTGCAGGACAACATAAACCACACTGTGATGAACTGTGTAGGTACTGATCACTGTCGTGGAATTTTCTAGATTCGGTTCAGAAAAATATTCTCATACATTTGATCCGAAAATAATGGTGAGAATAAAAGTGTCCTGTATCTATCACGTGGAAAATACTTGAAAACTATTGGGTAGTCATGGTTTTCGAAAACGTTTCGTGACAATCGGTAGATTTATTGCTGGGCAACGTTTCGCTTTTGACACAAAAGCTTCGTCAGGCCAAGTGATTAGGTTCCGAGGTTGATCGAGATTTAAGGCGGAAGGAGAACCAATCAGCTAAGTCAAGCTAAATCTCTGTTGGGTGTCGACCGAGGGATTTTAGTGTGTTAGAGTGGTTGAACACGTGTTGGGTCAATTTCCCACCAACCTTGTGTGTTATACATATCCGTAAGTTCGAACAACTGCTTTCCATGACTCAGGGCCCGAGAAAGGTCATAGAAACGAAGAAACCATCCACCAATTACTGTAGTGTATTTAACTTGTCAGATCGACCACTGAGTGAAGACGAACGCTGTCTGTTAGAAAAGAGGCTAAACTTTGCTGTGAGCAAAAAAGTAATAACAGCGGAGGAGAAAATTACTAGTGTAGAGTCACTGTTTCAAAAGCTTCCTTCAGCGGATTTGAGAAGCTACGGATACAACTGGTCACAGTCCTGAAATCCCAACAGCCGGGAGCTCCAAATATTGCACCATCAGAGCGGAGAGCGTTGAACACACTCAGACAGGTAGATAGTATTGTCATTACCAAGACCGATAAGGGTAAAGCCACAGTAGTGATGAATAAGAGTGACTATCTTCAAAAGGTCAGACAACACCTCGCCGATGGACCCTACCGACAAATTACCGGTAGAAGTATTACCTCAATAATGAATAAGAGTAAGGTTGAAGTTGGGAGATATTTAAGATCCGTAGTAAACCACTTAGAGCAAGGTAAGTGGTATCGGTTGTGTCCAAAAAGTGAGATTCAACCGCGACTCTACGGAGTGCCAAAAATCCACAAGGCAGATGTACCGATAAGGCCAATAGTGGATGGTATAGGCTCGCCGCCGCATGAACTGGCCAGATTCTTAGCTAGTATACTGAAACCGCTCACGGGGAAATCAAGCACCTTCATTAGGAATTCGTATGACTTTGCCAACAAGGTCGCAGGGCTTCCTTTGGAGATGGACGAAGTCCTCGTGAGTTTTGACGTAATATCAATGTACACAAACATCCCTAGGGCAGATGCTCTGGAGGTAACTAAGAGGTTGTTACTGGCAGACACGACACTCGGGGAACGGACACAGCTCTCGGTGGATGAAATAGTTGAGGGCATAAGAGTGTGTTTGAATCTTGATAAGTTTGTTTTTGACACAACTGTTTACTCACAAGAACAAGGCCTTGCAATGGGATCTCCAATATCCCCAGTTTTAGCCAATATTTACATGGAGGACTTCGAACAAATAGCTTTGGCCGGATATCATTGTCCACCCAAAGTTTTTTGGCGTTATGTTGACGACACGTTTGTTGTAATCAAACGAGACAACGTAAACAGCTTCCACGACTATCTCAATAGTTTAAACCCACACATCAAGTTTAGCATGGAGATAGAGTCCACATCGGGCACATTACCCTTTCTGGACTGTATAACACATAAGGTTGGTGGGAAATTGAAAACGACTGTCTACCAGAAACCAACAGACACGGGAACCGTCTTAAGCTATTCATCAGCACACCCAAAGTCCGTGTACGCCAGCATTGTCTCATCGATGTTTCGTCGAGTTAGAGCGCTGTGCACAGAAGAGATCGACCGGACGGCAGCTCAAATCGAGATTGCCAACAAACTTCAAGAAATAGGATACCCAGTGAGTTTGATTAGGCGACAACTAAGGAAGATATTGGCTCCAGTATCTAGACCCAGTAAGGAATGGATTGGCACAGCAGTCATTTCATATAAAGCAGGAACATCGAAGGTTATTCGAAGATTGTTGAACTTAGCCAACATTAGAGTAGCTTTTCAGAAGGAAAAAACGCTACGCTCAGTTTTGGTGCAATTGAAAGATCCCCTGCCGGCCGAAAGGACTAGGGACTGTGTGTACAAAGTTAACTGCAACGATTGTGCTAAGGTTTATATAGGACAAACTGCCAGGGAATTGCACACCAGAATTGGTGAGCATAAAAGAAGGATTAACAAACCACCAAGGAATGCAGAAGAATACCAAACGCTGGTCAAAGACTCAGCAATGGCGGTACATGCCTTAGACACGGGACATAGAATAGATCTGGAGAATGTGGAAGTCTTAATACGGGGACTGCGATTCACGCCACAACGGCTGATAGCCGAAGCAGTGGAAATCACTAAGCATCACAGCATGAATAGAATCGAGGGTGTGGAGCTAGCGAGCGTATGGAAAGCGGTCTTAGATAAGCCGAGTTGACGCGTGACGGTGTGGTTGACAATCCACTAAGGATCATTAGAAAAAACCGAAGGGGTAGCGGTGGAAACCCCAACCGACCAAAGGTCACTGCATCCTTCATACACAACTATCTTAGCACTAGCTCACCCACACAGACTAACAGAAGGTTCAAACGAAGTTCAAGAAAAACCATCAAATGAAGCGAACCAGAAGAACTAGACCCTAGACAGGACCCAAACACATGTAGGTTTCCCCACCGACCCAACACTTGTTCAACCACTCTAACACACTAAAATCCCTCGGTCGACACCCAACAGAGATTTAGCTTGACTTAGCTGATTGGTTCTCCTTCCGCCTTAAATCTCGATCAACCTCGGAACCTAATCACTTGGCCTGACGAAGCTTTTGTGTCAAAAGCGAAACGTTGCCCAGCAATAAATCTACCGATTGTCACCAAGCTTTTTAGAAAACGATGTCGTGTATCTATTTGCTGCGGCACGAATGTCAGTATGGTTTAACAAAGTGCACGATGTACACAAATGGAAAAGAACTGGTGCAGTGAGATGAACTGTAGTGCATTAAAGTCGGCAACAAAATTTGGAAGTGTAAAGATATTTATACGAATCTGGTACAACTGAGAAGTACCTGCAGCCCAACAAATATCCGCCGCAGTTAAACGAGTGAATTAGGGGAAACTGAGGGGACAGCAACAAGAGTTAAATTAAGGGCTCTGACCTGGTCACGAATAAGTTGGCGGGAGAGAAGATATATTATTATTTTTGATATAGTGGGGTATGGGTGTTTTATTCACAATTACTCAATTTTGAAGGAAGAGGGTAAAAGTGAGCAACCTTCTGGGTTGCAACTGGATGACCCGAGTTCAATCACTTATGGAAAAATTCCACCAAGGAGCCGGGTTAATACCCCATTTTATACTTAGCGAGGTCGAGCTTACATAACTAAAATGCTTAAAAGCCGAATCTAACGGACGTGGAAATGAACAGTAACCAGAACCCACTGAATACAAAATCAACAGTCACTTTTCAGGAACTTGAAGTTAATGAGGGACATAAATTAGACCATAGTATTGAGTAGCATTTTGGGTATGTCTCGGGAGGGTAACTGCGCTTGCCGCACAACCGATAGATCGGTATCAACTCGAAAAAAATGATGTCAGTTCGAGTGAGAAGTAGCTGATCCATATTACGCCGTCTATACTTTACGAAACAAAAACGTCCTTTATCAAGCCTGATGAGGTTTGGGATTTCGAGAATGGATAACTCAAGAGGAGTAATATAAAGAACGATAATGAACGCCAGCTTGTGGAAAACGGTTTCTTGTTTTGCGGAAGAAAGACCATGGTACCCCTTGGTGGGTGTTTGTAGAGGTTGTTGTCAAATCAAATTTTGTGTGTATTGTTTGCTATACAACCGGCTGGTTGAGGATTTTTTGGACGGACTTGGGGCTTTGAGGGTTTGTTACCTCTCAGTTACTGATGAGTCAATGTAGCATTTCGTCTCCAGCATCCTACGAGGCCTAACCGGTTATAACGAGATTACATTAATCTGTGCTAATTTGTTACGGAAGAAGCTGACGTGACAGGACTCACCCGAAATCTGACTGATTGGCTGCCAGATATCGAAGTCGGTTCTTGCGCTTGTTGTTGAAGATGATTATTAGACATATGAGCATCAGGAGGACAAGGCCAAAAATGATTCCAAAAGACAAACCGATCAAACTGGCTGTGTTGTTTCCGCTGGATGCCACTGAAAGTATTAGAAATGCAGACGAGGCTGATATAAGTTGGACTGGCCAGTATACGTCTAACTGAGCTAACTTGGCAACACATCAACAAGCCACATTTATGCAGTAGTCGAAATTTTGCCAAGTTAATTAAACCCTCAACGGTTCGGCCAGAACTTAATCACGTACTCAGTAAGGCCCAACATTTCAAGCCGTTGCTTCACTTCTTGGTATAGAAATTTGGTCTCTCACTCCCGAAAGTAACTACTTCATACACCTGGTGAGCACGCCGTCTTGGGGGATGGTTTTAAACCTTTTGCAAACGTAACAGAGAAAAAACTCTATCTTATTCTGCATACCATGGAATCTAATCCTAAATTTAGTAGGAAATTACAACTACGACCGTAAGGGGAAGCACACATTAAAGTAGCAGCTTTGCAGTTGGATGTTGTATTTACGTGTTTGAAACGTCAAACAGGTATGCGGTTGCAATCAGGCTAGTAGGCTTTCAGTCATTCGGTGAGCATAGGAATGCTTTCTCTGATTAAAGGAACTACCCAAATTTTGGAAGTAAAACATTTGGCTTCAATTATGCGAACAAGCCATTCACTGTTCTTTCGCTTTTCCGCCTATTTAGGCTATGTTGGTTGTAGAAATTTCCCGCAGAAACAGGACAACTATCTCTAAAAATTTCCTCTTTTCAACGAAAGTAATTTTCTTGGACAAGTTAAGAGGGTTCAGTCGAGGATTTTCAGTAGTATCACTGGAAAAAATTTTTTTTGATATGGCTGACCAAGCCACTCAAACCAAATGGTTTCCAGCTGTCAAAAGTTTTCTTGTCTAGTGCTAAATATGTAAAACAGGGTGAGTAACAGTCCATGATAATGATAATAAAACGTAGAAGAGCTTGTTGTTGTAACGAATGCATATTCAAGACAGTAGCTGACTGCTATTGACTTAACACTGTGGAGAATACGAGGAAGTGTTAAAATGTCAGTTGCATTGATGAAAGTTCCGAAAGTCATGACTTAGTCTTTTTTATCTAAAAATGAATGATCTGGTGAACGGATATAAAACACTAACTGTAAAAGTAGTCAGATGACATGGCACAGCGAAATATTTTTAGGATTTGCATCGATATACTTGGCGAAAGTTTGCTGAAACCTAATTGTTCCTGAATGCAACAACTGCCTTGAAATTAAGGTAATCAAGCAAACCTCAACACCCAGTCCGATCGCGCGTGGTGTGCAACTAGTCTACCACGTTCAACCATATCATATTCTGGTTTAGTTTTCGCACGTTAGTAGACCAAACGTAATGAATGCAGACCGCAGCGACATTTTACCAAAAATTCAAATACAACATGTAGTAAGAAGCACACTTCCTGGGTGATGTTCCCTAACACCTTACTTTTGATCTGGTACGAAATCATCATAAAGGTCCGAAATATTTCATAGTAATGAATGCAGACCCCAGCGACATTCTACCAAAAATTCAAAGACAACATGTAGTAACAAGCACACTTCCTGGGTGATGTTCCCTAAAACCTTACTTTTGATCTGGTACAAAATCATCATAAAGGTCCGAAATATTTCATGATACTTCAGAACGAGGTATCAGACATGAAAGCCTTAAAAACTTCGATTCGTGATTTAATGAATATGCTCCAATTGGAAATGTGTTTGGAAATCAGAAAATAAATCTGTGCAAACCCATTTGTTACTAGTTGCTAGGGTTGCATTTTTGCTTTTTAGATGGCCTTAAGTGTGTAGCATCACGTGTCTAGGAAGTAACAAAATGTCTCACCGTGGTTTTATGTTCAAAATCTTCCAGCAAAATGTAGGAGACCATGCTGCGAGGATACTAGAAAATCCCTTTATTTACAAGGCCGGAAATTTTTGAAGACTCTATGAGTAACTTTCTGAAAAATGTGCTGGAGACAAGCCATTAACAAGGCCTAATCTAAACAGCCATATTCAGGTAGGCTGCACTGTCTTTATGAACTGTCTTTTATCATTTGACTCGACGTTTTTTGAGACAAGGAGAACCTACGAACATGTAATTCGTGTCTGTTTGAGTACCATAGTTCAGATTCGTACTGAGTGCATAAGTAACGGTAACCTTCATTTAAATCCCTGTAAGATCGAGCTGCCCCTTGTTGCTAAAAATCGAGCTCACAATTTCCGTCACTTGTGTGAACTAGCCTGGATAATTATATGGACACACAAAAGAATGTGCAGTGTAAAAGGCAACAATAAATTCCAGCCATACCATACACGTGCCACGGCTTTTCGGTAGTTAGGACGACATCGAATGTGTTCACGGAATAAAAACGAATGAAACCACTGTTGTCTTGTCCTGAATAGTACGAAGGTTGCTCCAACAACGTTGACCTGACTTGCCGTATCTTTCTATCCACATCAGCAACATTCATGCCTGTTGATGCTCTGACTAGCTTTGACACATTTACGAGTAAATCCACCGATTTCGACTGCGGTAAAAGGAAAGCCATGGTAGTGCTTGTCATTCTCCTGAGGTCATTTGTAATTCTGATGCGTTCCTCAATTCCGTCCGACCGCGACTGAATTGTTCTTGGCAAACCGATATCGTTAGTCTGTGTGCAATGGTCAATCATCCGTCGTAACCGTTCAATCACCTTGTCCCGTGCGTTCGTCTGTAAATAAACACCAGTAGCAAAAGAGGCCACAACAGTGATTATACTTGTGCTATCATGTGTTGTCAGTATCGCTGAAATATGCTGTCACACTAATTTTCATCGGTGTTTGTGTTTTATTCGAAATATTGTGTTGATTTATCCAGCTAAAAAGGGGTTGAACTACAGTTTTCACTAGCTTAGCATAGAGTCACTATAGAATGCGAACCACAAAATCCTCATCACTTCATTGCCCCGAACAGAATTCCAGGAGGGAGATTCAGTTTTCTGTATGCTTTATGTGGCCCACTGTACCTACACCACTGTTGTCCGTTTATCATGGTTAGAGAGGAGTTACGTTGACATATCAACGTGTTCATCAAAGTTTTTTGTCCACTGTCATCTCATCGCGACCGGACAGTTTGCGTTCTTCTGTGATCCCCTGCCTGCGTTTTTCGTGGAACCAGCCTATAATAATTTGGCCTACGAAAGTTGGAATGTATTTTTGGCGTTTCATTGCTAGTAGGCGCTTCACTTCACTCTTCAGAGTTGACATATCATGACACCCCCATCTGCAGAAAAAAATTATCAATTCAGATTGTGCATATTCTACACTACCATAATAAATACAGTTCAGTTATGTGTAAATATTTAAGTAAGAAGTTCCATTTTGTATTGTCCAAGAAATTTTTAAATCCACCAATATGGTCAAGCCAACCAAAACATCCGGGCGTATTGCTGAGTGCTGCTTGTTAGTTTTTGAATCGCGGAGATTCAGAATATTTCTAGTTTAGTCTAGCCTTCAGGTGAGGGTAAGACGAAAATATAGCATATGTGACGGCTTGACCAAATGGCTTGTATTATGACCACTGGTTTGTTCTCCGAACAATACAGTTTCAAACCTTTTATTGCCATATTAGGCGACACCGGTGCAAAGTTGTGAACTGTAGCGTAGCGGTGAGTCATTGGTTTTGTAAATTTGCTGTCGGCGACATCAAAGGTAAATCTCCCTGAAGTTTACCGGAAAACAAAAACGGCCGAGAGAACGGCGTATAGGCCGATCAACGTGCACCCGCCTCTGGTCAGTCGCACGAAATTCAATCCGCTGTGATTTGGATAACCGATAAATTTTGCAACATAGATTGGGGTTACTTATGTATCAGCAGGACAACTCGGTCATTCACCTCAAATGTGCCTGCGATATATTGGACTGGAGCAGCTCACTTGGTTCATTCCATGCACCGAATCAGACTTTCTTGCACCAAACTTTGGTGGTAGTGAGTGGTGTGAGTGCGTAAGGAATTCTCCAAGATAGTGACCACAACAAAGCGGTACCAAAATATTCGAGATGAGATTTGAATGACGGACTGCTGAGGACTTTGCTTAAGATGTATGACATGTTTGACTTCCACTACATTATTGAAAAGACAGAAATATTCATTTAAGTCTGTGATTGGGGAAAGGAAAACTGAAACAAAAGGGTCTATTCTCTCCAGTAAACGGATCCATATCTCGTTCATCCAAGTCCAAGCAAGTGATTATTCGGTATTAACAAACGGGTGCATTCTAATGTTTTGTGATTTTGTAAAATGGGCTGACTGTCCACTACTTTCCAATAAGGTTGTCGAGTAAACCGTCTTATCAAGGAGCATCATGGAAATATCAACAACAAAGTCTCTGTAAGTGACCCAACATTTTTCCCAACGATAAGCTCCTGCTTTCTCTTTCGTTGTGTACGTAGATAGGAACAGCTTTGATTCAGTTTCTCTATTCACTGTAAATACTATTTTCAAGAAACTGTGTTTTCCCAGGAAATCTACCCGTGCCTATATGTTTGATAAATGCATCCGGCATGTGCCCAAAGACCTCCCTGATACGTAGTACCCTAGAGAAAAACGTTCCTGCTACTTAATTAAATCGTAATGTTGTGCTAATTAGAGACCGAAATGAACCTTTGTCTACGAACAATGTCACATGGGAGAACTTTATCGTCTACTTAACCTAGATAGTGGTTGCAATTATGCCAGTCAACCTTCACTTCCCAGGCATAATTCTTACTCATTGATACTTCCGAGTAACCACCCCTGATGTTTAAAGCTTTCGGACTTCCTGTATAGAATTTTATTGTCTAGGAGAGGGAAGTTTTCGCAACTTGTTGTGGGTGGCTGGTGAACTGATATTAAGCGAAGGGATCCATCAAACCGAAAATGTCTTAGTGATTGATCCGGTAGTTTACTGTAGCTTTGAGCCCAAATCGAGTAGGCAACTCCCCGTGTGTAGAGTACAATTAATTCAGCTCGCAGGACAAACCCCGAGTACAGACGAAATAAACTACCTATAATGTCGACGAAAATCCTTGGTAGCCCACAACCGACTTCGCCCTTCTTGAGGCTCATCTGGTGGGCGCAGCCCTCGAGTTTCCACCAACAGTAGGTTCTGTTTGAACCAGAATTGCACGAAATTTGCGAAATAAAAACATTTGTTGGTTTGCGGGATACTCATCTGGAACCCAGTTGAATCCCTCGTTTGCGGTGTTTTTAAGCAACTAAATGTGTTGCACTAGGTCATTTAATGTTTTGGTTGGTTAAATATCGCGATACATGTATAGATGTACTAAACTATTCAAAAGGTTGCTGAAAATTCTTTGACAGCCCACGACCGGTTTAGCCTTTCTTGGAGCTTATCAAGTAGGCGTGGTCCCGTGGTTTGCGTCAAGTTTATGTCCTACTTGAACCCAAATTGTGTGGAATTAACAAAAAGCATCACAAACGGAATATCTAGCTGGCTTCAAGGTGAGTCTCCCGCAGAACTGAATTTGTTTGAAAACGAGTGTATCTCGCTGAGCCCCAGGTACCATGTCAACTGAGTCGGTGAAAAGTCTCCCCCAATGAAATTCGTATGAAATTTCATTTTTTCAGCTTTTAATAACGTTGACCAGCTAATCTGTCCTAGAAGCGGGCCATCCTTTATGAGACTTTTGTTAGTGAGTATTTACTACATGGGTATGCAAGTCCAGTTCTGAATTAATTGGCCGGCCGGGTATATTCTACACGCATTTTATATAATTGTTTGTTTAAAATGCCTGGTTTAAAACTATCGCGTGATCGTCTTATTCATTCCATTTGCCTAACACGTGAGTGACCTGTAGCTGTCGTATTCAATGCCACTAACTGGCGGTTACATATGCCTTAAATGATCATATACATAACAAAAGGCTCGATAAATAAATTGATTGCCTGTTGTGAAAACTTTGGTTTTTGACATCCTGTTCTGATTGATCATCAAAAACATTCGAAATTGCTCTCATTGTAACTTACAAAATTAAACCCAGGAAGACATAAAGGGCAGGGAATCCAAATCATACGCAGGCATGGGCCTACGTTATTTTCTTCGTAATAGTCCGATGATCCTGTGCCAAGTGCCTTGCTGGAATTGCCCTCGACCAGCTGATTTCCAAACACTTGAATAACGAAACCCATCAGTCCTTGTGTTTCTCCGGCTATCTCCCAAATCAACCGAAAGCAGATGTCATCTGGACCAGATTCTACCGCTCGCGTTGAGGTGTCTCCGCTCCTCATTAGGTGGGGAGAAGTGCAATAAGAGAAGTCGCCTTTGTTCGTTGCTGGCTCAACGTGAATTGTAAGATCTTCAAATCTGAAGTCCGCTAATTGATATGTAGGAAGAGAATAGCAGTAAATCAGGTTCAAACAAAAAAAGTTATACAATTATGTGCTAATGGGTTTCTGACGCAAATATACGTAAATCCATGGGTTCACTTTTAGTTCTGAAATCAATGAGAAACAGTTGCGTTCAAATAACCGCTGGAATCTTCCAGCACGATACCAAAACGTGTATTTGCCAGTAAATATAAAAACAACCGTGGGTAGCTGCAAAATATTTTTGGATTTCATATCTTTCTCAATCTTGTTTGAAAAATCCTTTTCCTGTCCTGGTGTAATAACACGCTCCCCTTGTGTGTCAAGTACGCTTTCTTCAAATCACAAGGAAGTGTGCTGCAGATGAGCTCCAATACGTATATAGCCGCTTGGCACTTACAATTCAGGGCGCAGTGCGGGACTCAGATCAACCAACCATTAGTCGATGCCGTGTTTCAGCACCAGTGTTGTTCCTATCGAAATACTTCAGTGGATCCACATCATCAAGATACATGCTAAAATATAAATAATGTACTTCTACGGACAGTGGCCATCTCAAGCTGACTGTACTGGGGTCAGCTCAATCTGCTTCCTTAGGAGAGTGCTGAAATGATGTTACCACCCCATCTATTATCAACACTATGGGCGTGTGTTGACACCGAGTGTTTCCGCACGTTAGCCTGCTTAAACAATGTTAGAATGGACACTGGAACGGCTATCTGAGGGTTGACACAATAGATTTAGTCCAAACCCCTAAAACTACTTGGTTACCGACCAGACCATTTCGACTGACTGCCACCTAACCAACCATTACTGATAACCGAAAGCGAAATAGGAAGGAACCCGCGTAAAGGAAACTACGGTGATTGACACAAGCTAGAAAAATGTACATTAGCAAACAGTGACGAAGCTCTTCCAATGTACTCACTCTGATCAGTTGGACTTTAACCGGTACACGCTGGAGGGGCCACATTTGAGCTTTGCCGAATGCTTATCAGCTTTCGCTGAATCAAAGAGCACTCAAAAAAGCATCGTTAATATCAGTTGCAATTCCTGCCATCTCAATCCGCTGACATTATTCACAGTAGGGTTCCTCTAAATTCACCTGCTTGGGAGCAATTTAGTCAGCCTTCCTCTCCTGAAGAAACGCTAACCATCCTGTGACCACTATTCGCCAGCAGAAACCAGCCGAACTAAACTGATGAGTATCAAGGTAGCCACGCCTCTTTGAAGATTCACGTACTAGAGGCAATTTTGGTATCCTGATCAAGGTCTGTCGTTCTTTTAGTCTGGAAAATGATGACATACAGGCTATATAAACTACTTGTCTAGTGTCCACTGTTTCAAAGCCTAGCAATTCATGGAATACTCCAACCCTACAGGGGCTTTGAATTAGCAAGTAATTAGCCACTTTGTTGATTAGGTACGGCTGTATATAGAAAACCCAAATTTTGACAAATTTGTCCAACCATCACACAGGTTAAAATTCTAAAGAAGGAACCACTGAGATAAGCAGATCGTCTTACGACATTAGGTTAGTATACAAGTTGGAAGATATCTTTTCGGAGACAGAAACCACCAGAGGGAAACCGCAGCATTTGTTTGAGGTATAATCAGAGAGGAGAAAGGGAGTGAAGTAAATGTCGTTCCGAATGTATTTTGTTTACAGCTGTGAAATTCGATCTCATCCGGTGGACGATATCTGGCGACCGCTGGACTTGAAGCCCTATATAATGAGCAGTTCTGTCACTTGCCTTAACAGCATTTCCGAAGTGCAGATGCACCACGTTTAAAGAACTAAAATTGGAGAAGTTCCATATGGACCCTTTTGATGTGGCTTTTACACTTTCAAACATTCTGCAGATCCGACTGTACAAGCAAACCTTATGAGCTTTGACGGAAGCTGGTTGAAACAGACTGGATGGGGTCAACACGAAGTCGTAGACACGAAAAGCACCATTGCTTTGATTGTTAGAAAAGGAGACATTGAGTGCTTTTGCTTCAGGACTACGTGATACGGTGAGCCTATTCTTCAAATTAGGCAACTAGTGCCCTTTCGCCGTTTGCTACATTACACTTACCTGCGAATATCTATACATACCCGAAAATGAGCCGCTGAATCGCCCTTACTTTATCTTTAACCTTAACTTCTACCTCCCTGCTGACAATTCTAGCAAAACAACAAATATTGTGCAAGAGTTTGGGCGACAAGTATAAAGGGGAGATTTCACTGGAAATAACATAAACTTTAGGGGACCCGAGAAAATTGAGGATAACTAATTCCTGACATATACCGTTCATGCAAAAACTGGATTTACTCACACATTCCAGTGTACAGGCCAACTGGCTGAGAGTATGGTGAAATATAACTTCCGTCATTTCTCAAAAGTGCATCGTAGTCTGGAGCCACAGCTCGAACTCGAACTTGGTAGTATAGCCCACATTGGAAATAATGATCAACTATGAACTCTGAAAGATGAAAAGCGAAAAGACGAAATTGTCACCTCGTCCCCCAGGGCTGTAAGAATTTCACCAGAAACTTGAAGATTAGAGGCAGAACTATGGGCGAATAATTTGATTTAAAACCTACCAGGAAAAACGCACATATCAGAAGAACGATTAGACAATTTATTACGAAGGTGCAAACGACTTGACACTGTAGATGACTTTTTTTAGATGAGTTATTACAAACAACGATAAGGTTAAAGTGGCTCGTAGAAGTCGGTTTGATTTCACATATCACTGAACAATGATAACACTTGGCAAGATCAACAAACTAAAAGGTGATCAAGAAAACAAAACAAGTAAAAATACTGAACCTCCCAATACCGTCGGGTTTTGGGGATATGCAGTGGTTACTGGATTGGGATCGCAATTTGATCATGATATCTGATCTGAATGCCTAGATGAGATGGGTAAGTTAGATCAGAGTGTGAAAGCACCCATGTTTGCATCCTTGTCTGCAAACTGATGGATTGTGGCCCGAGTCACTGGTCTCAACAACTGAGCTTTTGTGAATTTGGTGGTTTTTTTGGATAGCAGCAATATAAAAAGTTGCGTCGGAAATAATATTACGATTCTACCTTAAAAACAAGATCATACTTATAAACTGATTCAATCGTATGACAACGAACATCCAAATCATTTCTTTAAATCTCACGTAGACGGAACATCTCCCATTAGATCGAAGACGGTTTAAATATACATCGACATCGAATACGGTAGTGCTCCGATAACTTGAAAGCCATAGTGAAGAGAGTCTTTGACTGTAACAGTTGTCCGGTGTCGTATGTACAAAACATTCGGTTAAAATAAAGGGCATTTTCCTGGGGCGGTGCTTGTGAGATTCAGCACGAGGTCTGCAGGGCTGTCAGGTTTCTTGGCGGTTCATATACCGCTCAGCGAGAATATGCTCCATACACCCCAGACGGTCACCTGTCACTCGAAGTTTGTTTAGCTTAAACGATGGGTGAAAGTGGCAGCCTCAGTAATGACTACAGTGTGAAAAATGGCACCTTGAATTGTGGCTGTGCAAAATCCTCAGGATAAAATTTTGGAATCGTTTACATTCTAGACGTTTTCCTGTCATCATGGCAAATGCTGCCAGTTGGTATCTAGTAAATAGTCGGAATATATTTTAGATGGGCAATTCTGTTGAACAAATTACCGGTTGCAAAACTAGAGCGAGTGGACTAAATTATTCGGTTTAGTTAGCAGTTTGTGGTTGATGTTAACTACCGAAAACCAGCATGCAGCATCCACCTGCTACTCCAACAACTGATACCACAGAAGCGCCAACGCAAAGGAGAAATGTAAAGTACAAACGCCCGTCGATCAGTGCACAAATTGGGAATGCTCAATAGTCTAACTCAACAGTCCTGGGGGCACTCAACCTACCGCTTCGGTCAAACTTCATTGTTTGTGCCGTTTTAGCATTGAAAATGCTCATTTCCATTTCATAATGAACTGGACACAGTTTAGTGTAATCCATTTGAGCACTGAACTTGCAAGCGACCAACTTCAGTCCCTTCGCATTGGGATCCGTGTGAACATCACCGCTCAGCGGTCCCCCGCATTTGAAAGAGATGGACGGAGACCCGTTGAAGTCTGTTGTGAATAGCCAGGAAAATCATATTTTGATTTGATCAGTCAGAATGCAGTAAAATTCATTAGATATCGTAACTTTATATGAGCTGCTTCTCATTGGATTTGGTGGAGGAAAGTGTGATTAGGCGAATTTGGCTTAAGCAATTAACATTTGATAAACTTTAATCCTGTAAACGCATCTGCCTAATTTACATAAATTCATAATACCTTCCATCATTATACCTAATCATTTACCAGTGGTTCCACGCAGATGTCAGTTTTGTGAAGAAATCTTCCTCATTTTACCAAAAAACGTAGAGCTATAATCATGGCATCTCCTCTTCAGAGCTTATCATTTCTAGTTTCAACGGCCCTTTGACGACCCCTTTGACTTCATATCCCCGAAGCGATGAACGCGTCCAGCTTTCAGTTCTGAACATGTGGGTCTGCCATGACCGTTGTGGATGTTTGGCCCGACAAAGTAACTTGTTTAGACAACCTCCAAACCAGTGTCCGACGCACGACTGGAACGTATACGCTTGAGCGAGAGCTAACAGAATAATCAACATTGCAAGAGGCGAGATTTCGCTTGCTAGAAATAGAAATGTGTTCATGTAAAAATTGTAGGTGCGCATAAAAGGTCAAAATTTGATCGATTTGTTTAGACTTGGAAGTGAATTTTGTAATAGAGCTAAAACAATGTCCTTAGGGCACTTAATGGCAAAATATCAAACTGTCATTTTTTGAGCGAGACTGCAAAATCTGAACTTTATGATTAATGCAATCAAAACCTATGTGGTGACGCATGCTCATGAGGCCTGAATCGTCTATCGTTTTTAGTACATACCTAGGATGAAATAAAATAATAATACCGGTAGTATTAATACTATTCCCCAAATGTTTGTGTGATGACATTGCTGTCACAGCCATGGAGTCGATTTTTGGGAGGTTACTAGTAAATAAGGGGCTTGGAAGTCAAAGTCTAAAGTCCCGCAATAAAATTATGGAAACAAACATGATGAAAAATTAATGCCTTCGATATTTTGAAAAGATGAGTCTGGAATAATATTCAACAGAATTCGGGATTCAACGCCGTCAGTTTATTTTCTCAAACCACCCCCTTTTGGCTGTTTTTCTCGCAGATAAATTCATGGGCATGAAATCCCGCAATTATAAGCCCTTCCCACTCCATATTCCAATGCGCTACTTTCACTGACCACTTCTAAACATAGACCTTGGCTGAATGATGCAAACCGGCGTTACAATTGGCTGTGACCGAAAGGTGATAATCAAAGGACTGGAGTATGGTCACATTGTTTCGTACCGCTTCTATAAATTATACAGTATTAACTAACTGTCCAATCAACTAATTAAAGCCTTAACTAAACCCAATCTTCCAAATTGTGATTATACTAACTAAGCAATTTGTGCCACACAGCAATGTACTCAATAGTATACCGGCAGATCATGATAAACTTTCCAGGACACAGAGTTCACTTTCAAATAAAACGAACCTAAGCTGATATTTATGATAAGATGCAGTAGGAAAATTGACTGATGGCTACTCAAAATGACCTCAAATTTCCGGAAATGCAGGCGAAACTTATGAGGCTATTTTATCTAGAAATGCAAAAGGTACAAGAGTTCAGGTGGACGGCGCGCAGTTATTGTAATTACATGGATGAAATGCTTCAGTCGAAGGTTTAAAGTTAGTCTCAACAATACTCTCCCGCATACGTCGAAAAGAGATAAATAGCCAACTTTACCGTTGTGAATAATCCCAGGCACTACATTTATTGTAAAAAAGCATAGCCTAATTACTCATCAGGTTTTAGCAAAAAATATTGTGTTACTAGATCAAAACAACTAGCGAAGGCGCCGAATATATAAGAATACCAATCCTTTTGCACAGAGCACGGACCCTTCTCAGCACTGGCTTACTCTGTCTGTTTGTGGTGCTGCAAACTTCAGCTGAGTCGGGTCCCCGACCAACGGAGTTGACATACGCAACAAGAGCACAATACTCAGTGCATGAATCCAGATCCGGAAGCCGAAAATCTGTGTGTGACTGAAGGGGGAATTCCAAAGTTTGCGACCTAGAACCAGGTTTGTAGTATGTTAAAAGTGCAGTTGTGCCCTCTCCGCACTCATTTCCAGTACGTTCAGACGAATATATTACTAGTGATTGACTTTCGACGGCCTTGATGCTCACCCGGTGTGGTTGGCAAGGTTCTGTGGAGGAATAGATTTTGACTTGTTTAAAATCATTATTCGAGGAAAGTACTAATAAAAATTAAATAACCAAGCTCGCGGCACAGCACTCAATAATACAGTCACTTAGGTCAGAGTTAGAAAAACTACTGGAACTATTCATTTTCTGCAACATCAACTTTATTGGATTGGAATCAGCGCACATGTAGTAGAGTCTACTTCAGTCCAAATCCAAGAACGAAAGCTAATTGATCTGTATTACCTGATTATTGGTTTGTGGAAATATTTCATAGTAATTCACTCTGAAAGCAGTGACTTGTCATCAGAACGGACGTTCGTGCGACCAGCCGAGATTGTTTTCTCCCTAGAAGACTAATTTCCAAGGTCTAGTAGGTGCCTGTGACCGTGTGAAGAAGGGAATTCGCCTTAACTGTTCACCCTAATAGTTTGACCTAATTTCTAGGTTATTTCTAAGCCTGATTAACCTCTCTAACTTTCCAAACATGTGAGTGATTCAATTTAAATTATTCACAAGTTATGTGGCCTTGCATGACTGTATAATACAGCTTTGTCTACAGCGCCTTCAGATCACCCAGCGAGCAGTAAATGATCACCTTTATTGTGGTGCATTTCAGGGCTATCCACATTGCTGGTATCGTCATACGGCATGCGTAACACTATTAGTTTACAGCGACTGTAAGAAAGCGTGTAATAACCGCGGTTAAATATATCAGCTTGAACGGTTTTCACGGCGTATCACCCTTCTTTGAAAACACAATGAATAGATCAATGTGGCTCAAACAAATTAGGGACATAGTCCGACATGTTCTTCATCGGTTCTTTTGTATTCAAAAACCTCGCCGTGCCTGCACAACTTCTTGGCTTGAAGGTATCCAATACGGAAAATATGAAAAATACGAAAATAAAGATAGTCTCCATATCCCTTTTTAATGGAAAAACGGTATGAATTTGTAATCACAAAAGCAAATGTAATTTGTTTGACGTGGAGTGTTGTTTGTGAGGGATGTTAACATCGAAACGAAGGACCTCAAGAACTTATTTCAAAATTGTGTTAGACTGGATAAGCGAACTATGTGTCAGTAAGCGATGTGTGTCCAAAGCAGATAAACCAGGTTCATTGGGTTCCCCAACACGACTAAATATGATGGGTCTGTAGACAGAATATGCTTTACTTACACAGGGGGCAAATCCAAAATAATAAGCTATCACAGCTGAGACTGTTAAAAAGACTCCACAGACTTACTGGCTGCCAAGGTGGTTAGAATTTTCTCTCGGGTAGCTCCTAAACTCCCATATGCATTGAACGGTGTTATTCGTATTTCATAGGAAGTATTTTGTGCCAGGTCTGTGAAGTGAGCCGATGGCGTGCTTTTAAACGATAAAGTGCTCATCCTTTGGCAAGAGAATATCAAGGAATCGACGAATCTGGACGATGATAGGTTGCTGTTGTCAGCGTAGTACATCTAAAGCAAAATGGCTGAGTTAAATCGGGCAACAAACCTGTTGTATCTTGTAATGGAAAACCTCAAAACATTTGGACGTGAGAGTATATTTACACAGATTACAGGCTATTCTTGTGTTACTTGCGTGATCTTCCCATATTCGAAAAGAACAGCGCACATTCCTTGGGCCAGCCAAGGTTGCACTGACTTTGCGGCATGAATTCTGAGCGAGTAAGTAGAACAGAGGTTTTCAGCGAGAGATCCACCACATTTTATCTAATAACCGGTTTTCTTCAAGGCGATGGATTCTGGCTATCAAAGGCAATCCAAGAAAGCAGTTAAATCTGGGGCTGCAACCTCGATAACACACAAAACGGTCAAAACCAACTAATCATAGCTAATTTGCCCAACGACGAGAAATATCTCACAAATTCCGGCAACCATTCATTTAAGAATTCGTTATACAAGGAAGCAGCTAGCACATGGTCGCGTGATGTGAACCGCGTTAGTAAGGGTCAAGCGATTTCATCTTCTTTCCAAGAGCGAGATGACAATACTGCGCATCAACCATTCGTGATTGACGAGTAAGGCGTTCCATTACCCAGAACAGAGCTGGCTTGAATCGGCTTAGGACTTCGCAAGGTGTGCGCTGCTACTGATGATTATGGGCATTTCAGCATAGGCTAAGTTAAAGATGAAATCTGGACTAAAATATCAGAATATCTTTTTATTGCCACTGACGTGCTAAAATGCTCAGATCAAGTGCGCACATCTCATTCAAACTTAGTAAATGCTCGCATACAATTCCGCTATCTAACAGTAGACATTTTTCCCCGCAGTGTAAAATGCTTCTTGGATGGTCTCAGAGATAGCTAAACTTTTCAGCAAGATACTCATCCAGCTAACTGTGACCTTCCCATGGAAATAAGCGCACAAGTACATTGTTTGTCCGGTTGTTTCAAGGATGGTATTACTGTAAAAACAACTACAAGCCGGCTTCGTCAGAACCGGACAGAACCATGTTATACTTAACACCGTGGGTTTACTGTGGGGTGCGTTCACACAAGACATTTTGCTTGTCCAGGAATGTCAGCTTGTAAACTAAATGGGAGTGGATGAAGGAAGTGGCATATAAAGCACGGCGACAGGGCTTTTGGAAAGGCAGCAACCGAAATTTATTCAGAGGATCTAAAACATAAGTACGCGGAATACGTGAAAGCTAGACGCTTTGAAGTCGCAATGTATCTCGGGCCCGCACTACTCCTGGTGAACCAGCTGATGCTTGATTTCTGATGCACTGTTATTACTATTGTGATTGCCTGTTGAACCCAACAGGAAGCCTTACCAGCTTTACCTCAGGAATAAGGCCTGTCAAAGAGACAGTGTTAACATTCCGAACTTTTGTAGTAATTTTAACCTTTTCCGGAAGATAGTCGTTACCTTCCCAGAAGGAAAGGGTTATGGTTACCGATTTAACGATTTGCATCTCTATGCCTGTGGTTTAGTTTCCAAATTCAGCTATCAGGTTAAGCAGTTGATGTCATACTCACTGTTGGGAATCATATCTCAATATTAGGCGACACTTTGGAAGGGGAATTGATTTAGCCGGATCACCAGTTTGGTCAGATACGGGCGGAAAATTCCGCGCACTATACAGCTGTTGGTTCATTCTTTGCTGCATTAGACCTGAATTGAACTCGCCAGAGATACAAAACACATTTCAAGATTTGGATACGCCAGTATATTAGATATCTGTCGAACTTGAGCACTGGTTTGGTCACGTTGAAAGAATGCACATGTGCGATGAACCACTTTGCATTTTGCAGCTTCAACTCAGTTTGAGCAAGTGGCATAGTATCCACTGGTTGGTAATTTACTAAGTGTCATGCTAACCATCAATACACGGGCCTTCCGCAAGCGGTGCGCTTTTCCATTAATTGTGCTTATGAACACAAATCTAGCCACTCGTCGCATTTTACTGACTGCATAACTTGTAAGTTTCCTCCCGTGTGAAGCTAGTCATTTGACTTAATGCAGTACCGGTGTTATAATTATTATTATTATTATCATCATCATCATCGTCAGCTGTAATAACCGCGTACTCGTAGTACAGTGGTTTTAGCTGCCGCAGTTTTGTTCAACGATGATCTGGGGGGGAGGGTAGGTAGCTGCGCATTGCAGGAGGGAGCTGATAGATTGGTGCATAAATTCAGCACTGTCAGTGGGCAGTCAAGTGGGGAGGTTGGAAAAGGAGCTATGCAATGAAGGCAATAGCTTGGATGCACGAGCTCCATTAAGGGCGCGACTGGGCCATATCTGACAATGTCTCTAGCCATTGGTGTGTGTTATAATTATAAATGCCATGTAGATTGCTGCTGCTGCTAAGCTTTTATGGCAACGATTTCCTATTGACCGAATCTATTGCAACTGCATCAAACACAAACTCACCAGTTGAGCATGGATGCATTTGGATCCACGTTGGCTTGGTAATGAAGGTTTACTAATGGTCGCCACATAACCATATACAGTGGATTCTACTGTTGTATCCCATTCTTGATAGAACTCATTTTGCATAGAGGGCGCTCCCCAGGATACTTGCAGTCTCGTTGTATAGTATATGGGGTATGTAACATCCACACAAGGAATTGGAGCTGAAAATGAAAGACAAATTCCACCGGTGTTTAAAAACAAACAACAAATAAGATAATCAGACAAGCTGATGTTTATTTTATCAGGTAGCAAGCGTGCGATGCCTAGATGTACGACAATGTCGTGGAGAAAATCTAAATCATTCTTATGGCTTCTACCATGTTTCTATGACTGATCAATCTCAGGAACATATAATTATCCAAACTTACATATTGTCCCTTGTTACTTCGTCAACTAACTAGTAAAATTTCCTACAAACTGCCTGGATAGGCTAGCTGCACTCTCGTCTCGCACTTTCGGCTTAACGCACAGAATTGATAGCACTACTGACGAATATACAGTTCTTCCTAAACAATTTTGGAACATCATTTTCTTCGTACTTGGGCGTGACCAGTCCGAAAGAACCTCAGCTCAGTTATAGCAAATGTCAGCACATAATCGCTTAATTCCAGGGAGTCATCAATTTACAGACATTTTGCATCTGGCACTCTCCTGTCTGCTGAGAGATTTGTCACTAAATCAGTTGATTTTGAAAACAGTATTCTACAAAACCGTATATGGATGTTTCACTGTAGGTATTCATGAGATGAAATATGCTCCCTCGAAGTAACTGCATACTGAGCTTATGAAATACTCCACTGGCCAGTATTTATCATAAAATTCTCAAAGGTTAACTTAAAGTTATTGGCTGTAATTTGATCAGTTACTTAGGTGGAGCAGCCTTCACGAGTAGATTTCTCCCGATACACAAAGTTGGCATACAAACAATTCTCTCTGCTGAATGCACTGTTGTTTCTGTTTGAAGTATGCAGCATTTGAAATATAAAACTCTTTGTCTAGATGGGCTAGGAAAGTTCTCTCAAGGAGACCGAAGTCCGCAAATCACGTATATTAAGAACAGCAGAATCAAGTATATTGCGTGACGCAACAACATTAAAGCCACTACTCACGTAAACCCAAAAATTTGAGCAGGCCAAATATTTGTCCTATACTGGCAGTTTGGAGCAATCGTTGTTCTCATGTTAAAAAACAGCTGATAATCTCTGAGTTTAGGGGATGTTATTTTTAGCCAGTTTTTTTTCACATTACAATGGAAGACATTCTCAGCAAAACATTGATGTTCTATTCAGAGCCTCTCCGAGCAATTAGAATCCATTCATGATTACGTGATTACGTGATTACATGGCTTGTTGGAAACTATGACCGGAAATTCCGTAGCTCAAACTCAACCTCGGCATACACAGTTTTAAGCTTGAGTAGCCTTGCAGTATCCTAATCCTTATATTTCCTCTACGTGGCATGTAAAATAAGTACCGACATATGATACAGCTGAAATATTTGTTTTTATTTTTATGCAGGTCCTAAGGCTGTTGTTACTGAGACACTTCAGCATTATGGACGTATTGGAATCCCGAAGCCTAATACACCAATAAACTTAGGTTGAATCTGAAGTAACCGTGCTGAAGTGACTTTAACAGCTCCACCCACTGTCGCGAACCGCCCTAAGTTCAGACGTACCATACACAGTTTGAAGGACACATCAGCCCAGAAGTGCATTAATGTCGCAACGTTTATGGCACGATTTTGATGTGGTGTGAATACTTTGTTATTATTTTTGTATACATTCCTTATCTGTTATCCAACCATTTGTGTGATAGAAGTTTAAGCAGTTGTTTGTTTTCCTTCCTAAACTTTTTGCGTTTCTTAAGGTCTGTTCCACACTGACGCATGCCACTTGAGGAAAGCTTAGGAAATAGAAAGAAAACTGAACACGTTTGAGTTGCATGAGCATCTGGACGTGCTATTGACCAGGTATGTACATGGATCTTTTTGCAGCTTGTTCCCCTAGTTGGCTTCAGTGCCCACGTGTCGCGTTTTTGTGCCCAAACTCTTCTTCCAAAGCCGTGTTGAGCAAACAATGATTTGAAGACATTTCATATGGCTTATTTAATCGTGGTTGTTGGTCTGTTTTCCGAGCTTGGCAGCTGGATTACAAACATTTCATCACCAATCGGGGTGATATCCACGCTGACGATGTCATGCAATCCAAATGCCAAGCTCGGCGAACGGACCAATAACCAAGCAGCTCAACCGAGCTGCCTATATTCCACATTACTGCCTGTTTATTCTGTTGTTGCTATTGTACTGATGGGTATGAAAAAGTGAACTTTCCTAGTAACGTTCACTTTTCTCCATTGCTTCCCTGTGGAATATACAAAAGTACAATGTCCCCATTATTACTAAACCATTGTTTAACATTTTGGTGGCCGGTTATTTGAAACTTACTCACCAGATTTCGGAAAATTAATTGGGTGTTATTACTGTTCCAACACAACTAACTCACCCATTTCGTGGCACTGTGGAACAGAACACGTGCCCCAGCTACCAGAGAGAGGACAATGTGTTTGATCTGAATACACGAAGCCTTGAGCGGTTTGGCAGTGCGTAGTAATGTAACCATGAGTTGTCGAACTCTTATTGCAAGATTCATGATGTCCAAATTCGACAACATAGGCCATATGCTGACCGGACGTCTGGTAACTGGTAGGGGCCAACGTAATATTGGACAATGGGAGAGACCATACACAGTCTAGTTGGCAAGCTGAAATGTTTTATGATGGAAGCAGATTACAGGTTATCATAAAAGGCTTATTCGCCCGTATCAAAATCATAAGTAGCCCACAAAATGAGTGACAATAATTCGAAACGGCGGCGGTCTCACCTGACTTGTCCATAGGACTTGAAATTACCAGAGGATCTACGCGTCTGTCACTAGCCACAAAAGTATCCAACTCTAGACTTATTCTGGATGACCTGGTTGGAGGGATCGGCAACATGAGGCGGTAGGAGAGGAGTCCGTTAGCTTCTTTCGGAGTTTCTAGAAGCGGAAGCGCCCAATGCTGAGCCAGATTCTCTAGTGTGAAAATCATCGGCTGCGCCATGACCTCATGCTTGTCATTAAGCAGTGTTGCGGTGTGCCCGATCGAGGCGCATGTTCTGTAATTTGAATTCCTGTCTTCCTTTAGAACAAACAGCAACATGTTGTTCGAAAGTGTAGTCACACTGAGTTGTGGCCTTGTTCCTGAATATACGAAAATACGAGAGCGAGCTGAATATATGTACGCATATACGGCTTTTGTATATTCACAATTAAATATACTGTGATGCCATAAAACAAAAGGTTCCTGAAGGCCTTAGTGGTGTAACTGGAAAGAACGGAGCTGGACACATCCTTGAGATGACCAAAACGGACACTATTTTTTGCACGAATTTAGGCAAGATGCGCAGATTTACGGTGTCGTTTCTCCCAGCAGGTACACCTGAGTAAGAGGATTATGCCGAATGCCAGATTATTCAGGAAAAATGCACTTAAGATTATGGAGAAAAAAGTTGCCGAAGTCCCAATTCATGAAAGCGTATATAAGTGCCGCTGTTGTTGTACAGTAACACAGTAGTATTATTGTTTATATAGCTGAGTTTATCTTTCCATATATCTTGTGTACTAGAGAAGTAATAATTACACAGAGATGGGAAAAGGGCTAATTAGATGAGATTGGTACGGGTGAAAATCTACAAAGCCCACAAGTCCTCAGTAATGGCGAAAAAGACTGAACAAGCAATGTGCCGTAGGGCATAGTGTAGGACTACCTATCAGATATGAGGCAAAGAAAGAATAGAGAAATAATCATGGTAGTTGGAATTGTAGAAGATGAGCTTCAGGAGAAGACCGTTTGATAATTTCAATAATTTCCTCCATTGGTGTTTTAGAGACTAAACTTTCGGATGTTTTACTTGGAACTGCGCAAATAGTAAAGTTATTCATTTTTAAAGGCGAAACATGGAAGTACTTTCATTGTGCAAACTGGTGTTCGAGCAACTATGATTAGGAGGACCATCTTAAAACTGTACCATGACAGTGAGTTAAACGTGAGTTAAACGATGTTTGTTAGAAGGCAGTGTGTTGAAAACTGACAAAAAGATTGGCAACAGATATGAGAGTTATGTTGAAATGAACATTGACGAAGGACCGTTCATTCAAAAGCCTTTCACAGCATGTTTCTCTAAATTGACAATCTTCTTCCAGAAATGGATTTGCCGCTGTTCTCAACTTTCCGTTATGACGGCGCCGAAATTACATCATGCATTTTTGTTGGAACCCGTCAAAGAAAATGTGTTGGCACATATTCATACACAGCGGTTTTATCTGAGAAAAAACTTGGATTCATAAAAAATACGGGAAAGCATACTCATGAAAAGCAACCCTCCTATGTTCTGGAAGCATCGACTCTAACTGGTTCAATTAGTGGTTGTTGTGTGTGAATCCATATATCTACCCTGAGGTAATTTACCGTATTGCATCCGACACCGTCTTCAGCGTACTCGTTTGTTATATACATTATTGTGTGAAACAGTAGACGTGGCGATCGACGATCCTTGTAATGTTGCTCAATCTAATGAGAACAGCTATCGTTCAATTATGTCTGAAAGACAAATAATGCGCAATAATGTGTGCCTGAAATACGTACACGTCGCCAAAATTTTTCACAACTGGCATTTGGATGACAGAGCAGGCATGAGACTTTTACATACCTCTTGGGATAAGTAACTCGCAATTACGTAACGTCTGAACTGCTCAGATGATATCTGTTTTTCAGGTCAGGCACAGTGCCTCCTCATTTCTCGTGAACATCCTTCTCACTGCATGGTTGAGTTTTTCCGTCAGACAACTGTCAGAACAACTGGTTTGAAGACCTTTGTGTTTCAGTGACACTAGAATCCATGAGTAGTAATTCGCAGCACAAAATGAGTTTCCCCTGTGACCATATTCTCTGGTTGAGACACAATAACAACTGCCTTCTTTGGAATATGGTCTGGGTGATAGACAACCCTCGCTTTCGTCCGGATGTGTAAAGTCACCCAAGACTGTAGGAAACTTGGACGGTTTTCCACTGGATATCACTTGTGTCAGTTGCCCAGTTATCCGAAAGTTTACACTGGTATCTTTTATCTGCTCGGTGTGAACTGTAGTAGATTTTTTGCAGTGTTTTATGAGGTTGCAGTTTATTTCACGAGACTTCATTTCACTATATTACACCTGACTTGCCTTCTTTTTTATTTTTATATTATATGCACATTACACTGTTATATTTAACAATCTGGACCTTCTGGGTTGTTATGCCCATGACGGTGCTTTGAGTAGCCCCGTCTATGACCACCAACGTAAGGACCCAGCTGAATGATGACTGGCACTAGCTAACAATACACGTGTCGTCAGGATGCATTCCATTAGTAGTGACGTTACACATTTTTCGGATGTTCAGTTGTACTCGTCTGAGCTGAAAATTGGTGGCTCCCAGTTGGGCATTCTGGTGACTTCAAAGTGCCCCTACCTGCCCACCGTTCTATCCAGTGTCATCGGGGTCACACCAGTTGAAGAGACATCAGGTTACTGCATGTGCGTCTTAGCACAAACCGCACCTAGCACCACACATTAGACAGTGTTCCCTCTGCGTAGTTCGATGTGACAAGTCAATCTGAAAGCGTCTGTCAGCCCACTGTACCCGAGTTAAGTTAACGAGTTGGAGGTTTGCCTGGCCTTACAAGACAAGCTTGAAGCCTGTGTCTTCACCTAGCTAGGAGTGAACTGTTTTCAGACCAATTAAACTCGTTAGGTGTTCTGCTAAATCAAAATGCTTCAAATCCAGAAAACCGTCCGAACAATTTTGTTAGCGTTTGCGCGACTGTTGCTTCACACTGAGTGAGAAAATTTTGTGCATTTATTTGACATGGCTCGCAGTAATTTCGAACAATGAGAGGGTTAGGCCATGGATTTTTTCGCTGGGTTGGACAACTCTTCTGCGGCGAATTCTTCGTCAGTGAATGCGACTTTCGTTTTCACTGTATCACGGTTACAGGTGACCATACACGAATAGCAAAAGCAAAGTGTCACTGACGGAAAATGTTTCTGCTTCCATTTAGTTTGGGCTTCATGAACTTAACAATTTTCTTGTGTTTGCTCTGTTTACATATTCATCTGTACCTTTGCATCCATATTTTCATGCAATGAACTAACCCTTTCCAAATTTTCCTCAAGCACCTTTGGCACTGAGAATCCACGTTGGTCGCAGTAAAACAAAACCTGAAAGTTTCAAATGGATTTCAGATTCTCATGATTTACTCTTGCTTGCTGGCCCCTCACAGACTTTCTAGAAGGTCGGACCAACCTAAACCATGGGATGCATTCTTATTCCGAGTTACAGAAATGAAAAGCGAGTTATTATCTTGGGTGCACTTTAACTCCTGTTTCGAAAGCATAGTATAAGGGGTTACACTTATCTTCGGGAAAGCAGGTTTTTCCGTACGTTTCTGCTTGATACTGGCTTTTGCAGAAATGTTACAAAGTAGGTACAATGAACTATCCTACTATTTATTCTAAAATCCTTTTGCTATTCCTTTTCGATAATTTCTCCACTAGAAGGTTCAAACCCATTTACCAAAGCCGCCTTTCATTCAACTTGGAATGATGAAGGTTTCCATCATCACCGTCATCACTGTCAGCAATACAGTGGCAGAAAACTGTTGTAAAACATAAATTCATTACAGACATGAGGGAGGAAAGCCGTGGTAAAGAGATTAAAGTAAAGCGAAAAAATGGACTTGTGGAAGGCGACAATATTTCTTTGAGAAAAACTACTGAGACTGAGATGTCTATCCCTGTGGACATGGTTCCTGGGTCAGTCTCCCCCAGAGCAGCGCTTGGAATACACAGCATAGCAGACTTTGGTACAACTCTGTAACTTGTGTTTCGCAAAGCTACTAAATGGAGAGCTCGTTTCCTACGTTTCTAATAGAAGTTTAATTACCATCTACATGAAGACTTGCGTGATTTGCGTTGGACGGTTTATCCGAAAAAGTCGATCAAGAACGGAGCCACGTTATTTTTAGCTGATGGAAATTTGACTCCAAAGCTGTTAAGAGGTAGACATACACCATCTAGCAAAACGGCACCCACTGCGTTCAAACTTAGTATTAGTGGTAAACAACTGGTGATCCGTAAACTTTGCAAGAAGCGTTCTCCATTATTTTTGTCTCTTAGGTCCAGGCTAAGCATACCATCAACGTCTGCCTCTGACGAGTTCAAAGGTGCACTGTAATCATATCCTCTTATGAATGTATCTCAGCCCTTCGTGGTAGACAAGGGGGCCACCGGTACATGATGACCATCTTCAATGAATCATAGCAGCAGTTCGTTGATGCATATATGAGTGCAACAAACATAAGGCAATCCATGTTTAAATACAAGCAAGAAGTTGGTGGCACAGGATCAGTGGTTTGCAGGTATTCAGCCTCAGCTCAAATGCGTGAGGCTATGCCAACACTAGTCATCTCAGCAACTTTATTTGGATCCTGCATTCATGTCAATGATATGAGACATACGCCAGTTGATAGAGTTTTCTTTTTGGTCGACCTGTCAAGCATTTTCTATGTTAAATGCTGGAATAAACAGAACGAAGCCTGAATGTCGGACGGGAAGCGACGGATGGGGCCCGGGTCTTGCAGTGCCAATTCTCTTTTCAGTTTATGCTTTTCCTAAATACAATATGCAGTCTATCGTTTTTTCCCAGCTGTAAAAGTTTCACTGCATCAACTTCCATAATAAATCTATCTTCTGCCCTCTGCCAACCGCAGAGAAATAAATTAGCCTATTCAATCCTAAGAATGTCAATTTTTGACAACAAAAATTGCATCAATATTGCGAAAGAAAATGCAGTCTCCGGGAGGCAGTAGGGGAGGCCAATAAATTTTAACCCCAAAACAGCCATCCACGGTGGGTGCCGGGTAGACTGATCGACAAGAATTTGCTGCAAACCGATTGCAGACCGCATATTGCAGTCAAACGAACAATTCTGAATAACAATTGCATGGTATAGCACTCTAATTAGTCGTAACGAGTTTCACTCTATTACGAAACGTTCAACCTTGATATTCGCTCACGAATATCAGTGTGCTTGCAATAACAAAACCTGAAGCTTAAGTGTATGATTGTGATAACAAGGCAGCAAAGGCGGCCATCGATTAGTGCCGACTGAGAAAAAAAAGGAGGAATGAATGTACCAAAATGACCGCTGTAGCTGCGTCACAGCCGTATCCCATGTTCCATATTCCATATTCCATATCCCAGTTTTAGAAAAGAAGCTCTATCTAGTCTTAATGACCCTTGCCTTCATAGATTAGGTCACTCTAACCAATGAGCCGTGAGTTGTGAAATTCAAAATTCATGTTTCCGAGCAGAATAGGTCTGTTATAAGACCCAGAGTCAAGCCAGGAATCTGTCCTTCCGTTCCTTGGTAATCAAGGCTCACATCGAATTATTTTACTGGACACCAAAATAACAATTGACAAAATCTAAGTTAATCACTAAAAGAATGAAGGAATGCACTTGCTGGAAGACTGTACGACATTCTGAAAAGTAATTTACCTTCAGCCGCAGTTAGCAAGCGCCTCCGGCACGAAAATAGCTGAGGATTTAACGAATCGTTTGAAACCACCATGAGTGACACTTCGTAAACTGCGCAAGGCAGAAGACAGGAGAATGAGAATTGTTGATCTCTTGTTTCAGCGCGTACTGCGATGCGATGTCTCTCGCATAACAAATTTGTTGGATCTCCGGAAAATTCAGGATCCGATCCGCCTTTCTGGAGTGTAAGATAATGAAGTATTTACATAGGAGAACGTCAGTAGAATGTCAGCTATTTTAAAGACCTGCCCTATGGGCATAAAAAAATGAAGATATCCAAGCCAACAAATGGTCTAGGTAATTATCGTCAAAACGTTGGCGGACGTGTGTGACTCACTAGGTCGCAATGCCGCACGTAGCATGTATCTCGTAATGACCTTGTTTGTAGGTGATTGACTCTTCTTAGTTCGACCTGGAGGTCCAACTTATTTATAGCGGACAGGTTATTCACGCGTTCAGGCACAGTCCAACTGAGAAGATTTGTTCGGGTGTCTTTCCTCTGTAACCTCAGATTGCAGTCCTCTTCGGGTTCAGCTAAAAGATATGAAAGTTCAGCATATCGGGGATAACGTAGGGGAAAACATCTACAATGAACAATTTCAAACCAATAACCCTGTTGGCGTTTCGGGTTGCATTTACTGCCTAATAGAATGAGTGGAAAGGACAATTTAGATATAATAGCCAAAACTAGATGGCTGGGGTTTTACACATACTCATTTTCAAATTAATTTCCTACAGAGGGAATAATCAACTAAAAACCAGCTGAATTTCCCGACACTGATATTATCAAACTAAATGTGATGCACAGTAGACACCTCAGATAATAATTGATAGAGCATTCTGGGGACCACAGTATATTTTTTAACAGAACACAGTACACATGTCTGACGGAAACCTTTTGACAGTCCACGACTACTTCCCTCTCTTTGGGATCGCCAGTTGGGTACAGTCCCTGGTTAACCAGTCGCCTTTTTTCTACTAACAAAATATATTTGCTTTCAAGTTAATCTGTTGTGGTTTATCGCTTCAGACGGCGAGAGCATGAAAAAAGCAAATGACATCAAAAAATGAGGAAAAAACTAGGCACTTATTCACTACAGATAGCATGTGCAGGTTGAAGATAACTTGCTGGCAGTCCATTGATGGATTTTCTCTGTGTCATCAACGAGAAAACTCCAGAAAATTGCTAATCTCCCTAGTGATTTTCGTTATTTAGGCTTATAAGCTGGAGATCTGGCACTGAATCATACGGTTTTCGCCTCCTTGTCCGCAATTTCTTTTCTCGACATAGCACTGTTCAGAAGAGTGATCGAAATCATTCAAAATGCCTCCGGCGATTTTGAATCCTATCCTCTGATCGGTATGTGGAACTAAATAATCATTTGCTCTCTCGTTGCTCCGTAGACGAGACTACCCGAACACGAATATGACAGTCAGTTTGGCACGATTGCTTACTTTAGCACCAAAAGTTAATTTTGTAAGCGCTTCAGGATGGTGGTGTGGAATACAGGTTGGTTTCGATATATTCATCCACATCGGTCAACTAGGAGCGTTTCTGATTGTATTTCGGTGAACTGATTCTGCATTTGTGTGAATAGCCGAAGGAGTTAAGTTTCTTCTGAACAGCTTAAACATCTGTTGGAGATATTCACAGTTGGAATGGTTTAACCACCAACTTAGGTTTGCACATCCTTGAATCCAATAGGATTATCGCTACGGTTAATTAAGGTGTTCTTTTTTGGTTTACATAAAACTTAACACAAAGTCTGTCTTTAAAACGCAGTGTAGATAAATGTGCATCATGCGTAAACAGAAGCATGGCTTTGCAACTCACATGTTTTGACACTAATAAAATGGTTTGCTGGCCATAGTTCAACCTCGTATCGCTGATTCGGATGGAGATGGGGAATGGTGACTGTAAACTCATTTGGAACGTTTCTTTCATCTAGCAGCTCATCGAACTGCTCCCAGTCGGGCCAGTTGCCCAGCGGTTCTAGGCGTTCTTCCTTCTTGAACGTGCATACGTTTCTTCGGACATGACGTGCTTTGATATCATCAATTAAGCCGTTTCGGATGGTCATCTCATGCGCCCGAATCTAAAAAGCGCAAACAAAGATAGAGGGTTGAATATGTACCTTCACAGTGAAGCGGCCTAAGTGATAGATGAGTACAGGTTTCTTCCTCAAGATTTAACCTCGCTAATGGCGAGTACTACCACAGAGATAATACTTTTTGTACAAATTCGACGTAAAATTAACGTACCGATGATCGTCCCCTTCCATTACCTTTGCAGTTCTCAACGAATCTTCACGTGACATGTTTTCAGGACAGAGTTTGAATTCAACTATACGAGACGAACACAGCATGCGTGTATGTACAAGCAGTTCTTACAACCCCATAATAATTAGCTCCTGTTTCGTGTGTTGCCAGTATTTTGATAAAATGTAATAGCCTTTAGCTAGAAAAAGTTCACTGTATGCAAGATTAAATTACTCACTGACTATTAAGCTACATACTCGTTAGGTATTAGCAGTTAAAATAGCAGTGGAATCGCAATGCCAATATACAACAGGTCCTGTATCTGTGCACCGATATATCTCTGGTATCACTCAACTGGTTTCATTTTTATCGTTTGTATAGACACCAGTCGTCAATATATTTCCTTTAGCAATTGTATCTCTTTCACTTTACTCGTCGTAAGATTGTAAGATAGGTTTATGTTTAATAATTATAGTTAATTCATCTGCTGAGCAAAACGTATTCTCCTGCATGAACAAACCCGCTCAGCCCCGCCATTTTCCGACGTTTGGCCAACGGAAACTTTGATTTTCTTCCAATTCAGAAAAATAACCTCAACAAATTGAGAAAGGAAGTGCATATAGTGTTCCTTGGTGAGAGGTAACTCTAAAAACATTAATGACTTTGCCGATTTGTATAGGCAAGAAGCGATGGTCAAGATACACTCCGGCAAGACAGTGCCAAATGAGAGTTTCCGGTAACAATGTTGTTCCCAGTATTCCGTTTAAGTTTATCGGGGAAAATAAATGACTTACATTCTTTTGTCTGTTTGTTTTAGAAGTACGAGCCTTCTTATACCTTCGGAATGCTCTAGACATTATGGCAAGCTCTTTCTGAAGTATTAACTCCAAACGGTGTTATTTGTGTTTACTGGGTTTGTGATAGTTTTCTGTACAGTTTTGCGAGGCGAACGGAGTATTTATTGAGAAACGGGCTAATGACTACAAATTCGAATGAAAATAAGCTTCCTGTCAGCAAGTTGGCTAACGTATAATATGCTTTTCCGCATGAGACTTCTGAAGTGGTAACGTCCAAGACAACTGCGCATAGCTTTTACGCCACGTTCGCGGTACCCACACAGAAAACTGGTACGCTGTTCAACTGTCACGTACTACTCCGTCTAGGTTTAAGATCAGCAAATACATTCACTGGACACAGTAGAGCAGTAATCATTATGGCTTTTGTGCACACTGTTTTTCCTTATGTAGTTGGGTTTAGTTTTCCATAACATTAATGAGTATGATGAACTAGTCTGTTTCTCACGAAATAATTTTACTGTATTTTTATTGTCCTGATTGGGTCCTCCCAAGTATATTTTAGAATTTAGGAATTTCCGAATTCTCCACGGCGGCGCAAGACTTTTTTCTGTAGAGCGATTGACTGTTCGTGCGCACACAATCACTACGAATAATCTTTTAACAACTATAGTTTGCTTTCATCTTCGTCAAAACTGGTTTCTGCCAACAGAAGCTTTGTTATCATTTGTAAAGTGACATACCCAGGGTGCAAGAATGTAGAATATACCGATCTCACACTGAGTTGCGCCGATGGGGTAGACTGAGAGAGCATAAAATCGGTTTTTGGAGGTTGGTTTACGATGCACTGTGTAAGTGGGAACAGCCCAAGACACCTGAATATTGGTCGATCCAGTTCCAATCAGTGTAAGCTTCTGCCCTGAGAGAAGCTGGGAAGATTCGCTTGAAGCCCGTTCTGGAACAGGCAACAACCTCACAGTGCAGCTCCATTCGGTTCCCTGGCACACATCCTTTGATGCGATCACACAAAATTTGTATAGCTTTCCAGAATCCAAGTTGCGCAATGACAAGCGAGGATGTTGAGCTTCGAGTTGTATTATGCTCGTCCTGAAAAAAGACAAAAAAAAATCGCTAATAGGCTGACGGAAAATCTTCGTTAAATTGTAAGATAACTGAAATTGGGTTATATCTGGCCCTTGCGTTCTGGAGTCTTTAGCGAAAAGCTGCAGAAAATAAGAACAATATGGAAAAAGCTTGAACTGCTGTCTCTTGGCTGAGATGTTGCTCCCAGTGTTTAAACACACGAACTGTTCTCAACCCAAAAACATTAATTCGACACCCTGAGATGAAGAGAACAGTTATTAATGGAAATGCCCCTACTGCCGTCCATCTACTACAGGCATTTTCTGTCGTATTCCAATTATCGGTGCTCCAAATCGGCTTTCAACTCATGGTGAATTTTCGCCTTCACGTATATTATACATTTTGATGGGAATATCTTCCGTTTGGCCTTTTCACCTGTGTCCATCTATATGATATATCAATAATTGGTAAAACTATAATTATACTATTATGAACAGCTTATCCTTCCGTTTAGACTCTAAAAAACAGAGCGGACTCCATCTACTCTCGATCATGCTGTTAACTTCTGCAAAAGCTTCAAGAATTTTTCACAAGGAGTTTGAGAACGGTGGACCCTAACTCCATTCGTAATAAGTTCAGTGCAATTGTCGTTTTCAGAGATCTGATTGTTTGCTTTTCCATTTTTATTAACCCTTTCAACTACCGGTCACTTTCGTCAAACACTAACCGAAAACTAAGTATCATCCCGCCCGCTTCACCACCATTCTTTAGTCTGAGCTTCTCTGAGGTTGTTTCGTCATGTGAATAAATTTATTGACGAAACTCTGATGCGCATTGACAGCTGGCTATCGTTAAACGTGGTTGTGCAACAGTAGGTGTTGGTAAGTTCGTATGGCTTTTAACGCCCACAAGGCTAAATGCCATCACATTACTGCGATTAACATAGTCGGTCAACAAGTGAGATGGGTGCTTCATAGCACAACACTGGAGCTCCGAGTCCTAAGACCACACTTTAGACTACTTAAATCTCTACAACAACGTATTTGGACTTTTGGGGACCCGGTACAAATCCGGCAACGCATGTGCACAACGAGCTCTACTTTTCGCTACTAATTTGATGCTAATGACCGGAGGCAAGTGGATGGTGTGAGGCGTGACAGAAAAGACCTGTGGGTTACGGAAATGTAACTTGAACAAACTAAAGTATAGGCGATAAAACGTAGAAGGTAGACATAACAAAAGTACACTACCGCCATGGATCGCCGTCTTATCGGAAGAGTCTTCGGTGAGATTCCTTTATTGCCTAAAAACCCTTATAACGCCCTCATTTGTGCTTTGACTGTGTAACAGGATGGTCGTTCTAACAATGTTCCCTGGTAGAACAGTCCCCGGTTACTCTCAGCATGGTTTTTTAAGTTGGATTGGAGTGTCTTCGAGAACGCATTTCAAAATTAGCCTGGGTTTAATGGGAAGCTTAACGAAATTTCCGCCCAGTCATTAGTTTGCACGGGTCCTTGAATCTTCGTCCACCAAATATCAGTCAGGTGATACTATTGTGCTCCTACGACAATCACATCTAGGGCTGCTTTTTTATCCAGTTTGGATCCAATAGTTGCTTGTCACTCTGCAACGTAACTCATTAAAGCCATGAAATGAAGATTCCGCATTTCTGCTGTTACACAGATTAGAAGTTGTATATTATTAATCAGAATTAAATCGGAAAAACGTAAATTTAACCCGGAAGAATACTGACTTCATATTGCACGATCCCTTATTTGGCTACAGGTTGACTACCCCTGAACATTCACTCAACAGAACTTGGTCCGAGACAGAAAATCTTATATTTCATCAGCTTTTGCTCATTTTGAGGTTCCAAAATCTTTTTTGCGTCTGTCATGATATTCGAGCAACTAATTTCAATGAGATATTTAGTGCGAGTGGATTGATATATGTTAACCGATAGTCCTTTAATTAATATTCTTTTGAATCTTGTTTGCCGGCAGAATCATATCTGAGAAGTCCTCACTTAATGACGTTTTGCCACAAGGTTTCATATGTATACCATGCTACTTTGGTGATGATGTCCGTTAGCAAGAGAGGTCAAACAGAGTATTATATTCTACTGGTTAAATCGGTGTCAACTGGACATATCTCATTTCCGGCCATTTGAACATTCCTCACCCTGTTAGCCATTTTGTCTTCAGGACTAATGAATGGCTTTCTGGATAAAAAACCAATGGAGGAAAATAATTTCCCGTTATAAGAGAGGATATATTCACTCAACTGAAAAAGTATGTCTACAAGCAATAAGCATAAGTTACCATCCAAAAACCCGAGATTGATGGGACTAACGCGCGAAATTAATGACCGAAATGCTCATGTTTGGAGTCCAACATCTGCATCTAGGTAGCTCCTGTTTGGGCTTGGGCAATCTGGCCGGATCACAGTCCCCTTGATTTCTTCAGGTGGCATGGCAACTAGCCAATGAAAGGGATTATGTTTGTATTGTCCAACAGGCAACTTGGGCCTGTTTCATTTTACAGACATCGGTTATTTGTTAATCTGTGGGCTTCATCGCTTCGGCTGAGTAAGTACATTCAGCGAATTTAGTCACGGTTGACTCAGCCGCTGTGTGATGGTAGTTAAACGGGATATAAGGCAACCGGTCTATTGCTAATGCGGCTCAGTTATTTGTAACTGCACCACAGCTTAGTTTTTGATCCCCAGCAAATAGCTATCCGAAATGTCACTCCAGCCTACAACTTAATTAGAATTCGATTTGGAAAGGCAGAATCATAGAGCATTACCGCTAGAATCGATTATGGCATGAGTTACATCCAGAACAATCCCATTAAACATATCTGTTCAGATCGTCCTACCATACCATGCATATTTTTAACACTTATCATGATATCCTTCAGGATCACACGACATTATGTAAGGTACACTTCATTAATTTCATTGTGCCATTAGGACTTATTAAACAACCTGGTAGCAGTGAAAGTATTCATGCTTTGTGTTCTCAACTGCTTTAGATGAACTACCTGGAATACTTTTTCGGCGCAAGGCTCTACAAAATTTGTGTGCCGCAACTTGAGCGGTCACGTATCGGCCCACAATAGTTTTAGGATAGATGAATATCAGTGATCGTAATCTGGCTTCGGTATGCGTAATTATCAGAATTCAAGAAAGCACCTTACGTTCTGTGGACATTTTGGGCAAAACGTGCATGCGGCTTTGGGTCACAAACCAGGTAATGTGAGAAACGACACGGATTAAGTTGTGATCGGCGACGGTATGAGAAGTTTGGGCATAATGCACGGCCAAAAACCTAACAGTTTACGAAACTGAAAAGACTGGCCGAAGGAGATTGAAAACGAACTCACTTTCACTCCATTTTCACTTACCTGGAATAAACAAGAACCAGGTACGTGCCGTTTTGGATAACTCTTCTTTGAGGCGTCCAGGAAAGAATGTAGTTTTGAATAGATTTTCCATCCCTGTTCAGCTGTGCGTTTAGTGAGATATCATATCTTGCTAAATTGGCCCTATCCGGCTGGAATAGATCGTCAAAGCTGTTCACTCTAATCTCCACAGGCAGCGATGCCCTTCCTTGACTAGTTGGAAGGACAGCTTCTAAGCACAATTTGAATCCGGCCACCTCTTCTTGCTTTACATTAAACTGAATCCGTTGTGGGCCCAGTTGTGACGAGTTTACCGGTAAATATGGATTACCCTTCAGAAATGAGATAAAAGGGCAGAAACTGAATGAGATGGACAAAATTATCGTGCTGGTCGATTACTATGGTTTAGTAAACTGCAACCCGGAGAGTTATTCAAGTAGAGGTATGTTTGTACACATGGTGATTCTGGCATTGTGACTGGACACTGCGAAGCGGACGAAGGAGGTGATTTGTAGGCTGTGCCAGTGCATTCCTTGTTGACTCTGCCCAGACAAAGCAGGGAACATTTGAGGCTTGTACCAAATAGCTGCTTTGAGGCATTAGGTGTCTCGCAGTAGTTATCTATCCAAGTAATGTCTAGATATGTGTATTAGCAGAGAGGTTTACCTCTAATTTTGTCTATATCGCTTAAGTCCTTCATTTCCAATGTGAACTCACTTCTGATGGCATTTATCTCATATTCCGAGGCCGCGTAAAGTAAGCAGCGATAAGCTGGAGAAATGGTTCTTGCGGAACACCGCGAATCAACAAGGATACTGGAAAAATCTGTCAGATGTTCATATTTGACGTCTCTCAGTTGCCTTTTTTCGAATAGTGTGGTTTCTTGTTTTGCTATCCATAAAGATTTCCATAGAAGAAACCATGGTTTGACTCGGAGTGCACCCCTGAAGAGACGGCAAGTTACTGTGATCGGCTGAGCCAAGATAGTTGTGCCTAAAAATACTTGTCATATAAAAGCCAGTAATCTAACAAAGCTCGAAAGTGGCAAGAAAAAGGACTACAAGAGTTAAATTCACTTGAAAAGGTAAGACTAGCCCGGTCCATTCAAGTAGGCTGTAGCTTAGGTGAATACTCATCAAATGGAAATAAACTTGAAGAATTAATACGGGTGGATGTCATGAGAATCTTCCCAAGGCTGACAAACATTTATCTTGTGCATGCGCTACGAGAATTTGTCCGCCTTCACAATTTAGTGTGGGATTTCGCGCTTTCAATTGTTCTGCTTCCTTCCTAATTTTGTTCTGTTACTTTCTCTGCAGCCACTTAAGTAAAGTTTTTTCCGCTCAAACCAGGTATGAAACCTATGTTCCTTACGAAACTTAGTTTGACTGCTTCTCACACATGTCGCATAATATGTTCTATTCTAACGTACACAGAAAGGTACCTCGTTCACATAATTTAAGTCTCTCGTCAGCCAAGAACCACATTTATTTCTGGAATGCCATCAAGCATTTATTTTTCGCGACTGTCCTGTTCAATATTTTCACTACTAGGTCTTAGCCCGATTCCTCGCCACCTCGAAGATCATTAAAATTCAGTTTCAGACAAAAGTCTTCGTAGTTGGTTCTCTTGTGTTTTCCGCTTTAAAATTACACAGCTTTGGATACTATTTCGATGGAAATCTACTGATTTACTTGCGGCAGCGGATATCTTAGTCGAGCCTAATAATATATTTGGAAAAAGAATGTATGGTAAGTGTGCACAGACACTACTGGATAATGCGCAACAGTTTGAGCTGTCGTTAGAAGCAGATAGTCCAGCAATATCTCTCATTCTGGTTTTCTTGAATCAAATTACTTCAAGAAATTCGCCCACCATTCCATCTTGCATCATTCCCCTCGAATGATGACTCGGTATTTAGTGTGCAGGGTCTTCTATGAGTGGCTTGTGAAGAATGTTTCTTTGTTTCATACTTGCACAAGAATGGCACATCCATTGGTCATAGATCTTCCATGGAAAAATCCCTAGAATTAGTTCGTTAGATTGTTCCTCCAATACAAACGGCTCTCGCCTAAGGTAGGGGAGGGAGACTAAGAGCTAATGCATTTAGTTTGGCCCCATAAGTAAAGTCTTACAAGTTTATGCCGTGCATACTGCTCTCATTTGATTTAACGACCTATTACCACACAATATGCCATAATAATTCCACCTGTATCTGGGTGCGTGACCAACGGCTAAAAGCATCGAAAAACTGGGTCAGAAAATCACCTGGTGGCCTATAAACCCAATCCTGACTTCATCGTCCAAATTGGATTAAAATGAACCACTGGCAGGTTATTACACGTTTGCCTCGTTGTTGACCTAAATGTTCTAGCAACCAAGTCCAATGTATAGAACAGGTATTCGAATGTTATCCAGTTCAGACATGTAAAACTGTACTGACTCCCCAGGTCTTTTGCCAGAACTGCTTAATTTTGGGCTCTGCTGTATTGTGGTGGGTAAGTAAGTAAGTAAGTAATAAGTAACTCACCTTCAACCAATAGTATTCCGGACCGTGAGACGTTTGTACCCATTTGAATACCAAAGATCTTTTCGTCAGTGTGAGATACGAGCACTCAATCTTAGGGGTCATACTGAAGGCAACATGTTTTACGTTGTTCCAATCACATATTGCGTGGCACCAGAGGCGGTGGCCCCACAACCAGATGACAATCATCCAGACAAACATCCAGATGCTTGCGACTTGCCCACTAGCCATTGGGCGTGAGTTCTAGATTACCACATAGGTTGCATTTTGAGTGCATACAGCTGTTGTAGAAAAAGGAATGTGGCAAATTTTAGTAAACCCAAAGAAACAGAAGAGAAACTAGTAAATTAGTTGAACCCATTTAAAAGCGCAGGGTAGGGAGAATTACCTTTTGAGGAAAACACAAAGGGAATTTGCCGCTCCTACTTTTTTACCAGCGAAATCACTCACCGTAGACCGTTATTTACAGGAAACTCCTTGATCAAAAACCAAATTGGATAAACAATGCTAACTATGAACCAGTGGATTTGAGCATCTTGGTCGACATGACTAAGGTCTTCCGAGGGAACTGCGATCATCCTACTATTCCGTTGACATGACAACAAACATAAGTAAAACAATGGATTGTAGACCAGAAATGAACAGTGGTGGAGGGGTATACTTGTCCCCAAACTGGCTTCACTGAACCGTCACTTGAATAGGAGTACCATATGACCAAATGCACCTTATACCATAATTCATTTGCTTTAGTCCTGCTAACTAATCCAAGTTGCATAAGTTAACTAAATATATCGAAACCGTAAACAGCAAACAAAATTCAAAATTCAGCAGCATATCGTCTTGGCGGTGGCTGTAAGAAAATCTCTAGGTCATCTTTCGTGCACTTTTACAGATCAGCCTTTTCGGCCAGTAAATACGGGCTACTGGCAACACAACGTACCAGTTAGTTTGATTCTAAACGACTCGACCAAAACTCGCTAGTGAAACAATGATCAGTCCATTTTTCAATCGGTACACTACTCACAAGATTGCTGAAGAACCTTCGACGGCCTTGTGAGCAATTTACTTTATGAAAATATACCGTGGTATCTTGAATATCGTGCCAACTGAAACGTGAGGTGGCCTTTATGAAGCCTATCAGTTGAAGAATATCATGTACTAAGGATTCAGTTGAGTCCTTCGTGAAAACCAAATTGATATGCAAATGAGTGCAGTTGTGGAAATGCTCACTTTTGTCATACACGTGCGGACAGTGACCTTCCCTTATTACTTCGCTGCGGGTCCCATTGCAGACGGTGAACTAAGTAGTCAAACGATTTTTAATCAATGGATCAGCCTCTTAAACTGATCAGAGTTTACGAGAGTGAGACAGTTCGGAGAATCGCTTCTACTCAAGAGAACGACTTTGAGTGGTCCGCTGGATGATCTCTCCAAACTTTGGATTATCGTGCTCAACTTTAGCGGTGTCTCTTCTCATTGGCTTTTATTTTTCTTAGTTCCTCTAAATTGGGCGGAAGTAAACTGCAATAACTTGTTGCGCTACTCAATTATGCCACATCAAAATATTAAAAATCATCAGCGCTTGTCCTTTGTGTCCGCTCAAAGTAAAGTCTTCGCATATTTTGACAACATGCGCTCCTCCAAATTAAAAAATAATCGCTATCACATTGAAAGAAAACAGGGCTGCGAGCAGCTTTCCATATCATTTTCTGAATGCTGACTGATGTCGTTGGTTCCATAACTTTCTGCCTAATGAATACAAAACATTGATGCAAGCATATAAGGAGAAACCAAGAGAAACCCAAGGGCTCATGAAGGCAAGGATGGTGAACGCTTTGGGCTTTCGAATGAGATTGGTGGAGAATCAATGCATTTCACTCGGCTAACCGCAGATCAACTTAGCGTTCTTCCCAGAATTGCCGCCTATCTTTTGTTGCCTATGAAAGTGTCTACTCATTTGCGAACCTTTACATCATGGCAATAGCTTGCCTGCACTCCTTCGTGCGGGTAATAGAGAAGCCCGTAACGATACGAAATCCAACAATAACAAAATTTCACACCTAAGTTGAACGAAAAGTAATTAAAACAGGCTCCTTTGAGCTCAGATCTCAAAAGTTCGTTTCTCCGATTGTCCGTATTGAATACGCGGTTTCACTGTAAGCCATTTTGGTCTTCGTCTCATTTCACAAATGCGGTATAAATACGTGCTCACGTTCATCGTATTGCTTAGTGTGTAGATTAAGAGAGATGGAATATGGTTTTCACCACCGTCCAACAGGCCAAAACACCCAAGTTCATTGGTATTCTCTGAAGTTACCTGTGTTGAAAGATCCTGGTCCAACTCAAGAAGTCACAAAACATGCAACAGTTCGAATTCGTCAGAAAAATGCCCAATGTTGTGCCATAGAGGTTGTACTCTTTTAAGGATTGTGACATCATTTGATTTAAACGAACTTCTGTCCCTTAGGTAAGTGAATTTCACATTACTCTGCCTCCAATTTTTGGAGGAATGTTTTGCCGTCAAGCTGTATTGGAATTCGGTATCATGGTATTTAGTACACACCAAAGACACATCTTATCATATTCCTCTATCCTGAAAGGTAGCGCCGTCGAAGGGATCAGTAGAAACGAATAAACAACAGCATATGCACCGCTATTTGTGGGTTACGGAAAAGGGATTTCACTGGATCGAATAACACGCGAAATTCCAGGGAAGCAGTTTTTCATCTTATGTTCAGTGCGCTCACCAAACGTAAGGTCGTTACACCCAAGAAGCCTTTATCAGAGCTAAGTAAAAAGATTGATGCTACTTAGAAATTTATGGGGTCTACAATGGCCAAGGTTTTAGCATAAAAAGTCGTACAGACCACTGCTTCAGCATTGCTACTGTGGAATGTGCAAGAAACGCACGAGAGCAAGCAGACGTAACATGTTAGTAGTCGAGGTTACTCAAAGGTCATTAAGAGTGTCGATGCACCGAATAATGGAAGTTGTTCTCCTTAGAATAGAAATTGCTGACTGACGGTAAGGCTGATGTAATTCCATAGCAAACTGTACCGGACTTTAAAAACCTTCATAAATTCTACGAGTGTTCACACTGTTCATGTTTTTTATTTGTGGATTACACCTCATTTTGTGTCAGCAAATTCTTCCAAGAACTGTGTGTTTACCCCAAGATGTTACGCAGTGAATACAGCTGACATATAAGGTGATGATGATCACCAAAAATATAAACCGTCCACGGAACCCACTAGTCCCGGTATTTCGATCTTGAAAACGATGTCAAGTTCCTCTGAGAAAATCACAATATAGAATCATTAATCAGTGGTAATTGTATAAAGCAAAACGGCTGGATGATTTTTGACGTCTTCTGGGTAGCCCGTGGGAAATGCTTCACTATAATGAAAAGCGTACGAGAACTTTCGTTCTTATGGTGCCTTATCAGGTAAGCAAAGAGGGGGTTGGACAGGTGAATCTGACAACTAGTTTAAAGTTAGTTTTTGCAGGATTACCTGTCCTCCCACTATTTGAACAGTTGATGGAATTATTTTTTATGGGGCTTGGTTTTAACTACCTGTGGACGATGTAACTACTGGTGAGCAGCCATACTTTTGGCTTTCCGTTTGTCAAGCTTGGTAGTCGTCACGTAAGCGTCTCGCCACCAGTGATTGTCCGGCCGAGTTGACATTTTACCGTTCATTGGTGAGGAAACGTTCACGGTCCATTTGACAGGCTTGGCAAACAAATGCGCAACCACTTGGTTAATAGCACATGGACTCATCCGACTTATATATGAAGCCTTTCTACCCAAATAATCATAGATTCAGGCAAAGAATCTGTGTGAAATTTCCAAAAAGTGTAAATATTCCCCTACCTGGTGGGTTTCAGTAAAGACAACAATAAGTACAGGACTTGTTGACTAATACGTTTTCTTCATGGATAAACGAGCATGCGCTGCAAGATGTTCGCCATTCTATATTAATATGGGCCTGAGAGCAGTCAACAATTGAGAGTTTGTCCTTGCGCCACTTTAGATGGGAGGTGAAATGAGGCATTTTATTTGTCCCATTACCACTAATTTGTTCAGACAATCGGCTACCATCAGGCAAAGAAAGCGAATCATGTGTTTCTGTGGAGTAAAATGACTATTATTTTGGCTGAACAACTGGGTTCATTTGTGTGGTTGCAGAGCGTAGGAATGCATTTTAACTATGGGTGTACTTGGAGTCCCTAAGTGGTGGTTAAGTCCATTAGCAATGTCACAGGAAACTCAAATGGATGTGGAAGAGGTTTCGTTTGAATAAGCTGAGCGGTCAGAGGGCGTTGCTTAGTTCACAACGGTCAAAACACTACTTGCGTTGTTCTACTGTCAGATGTCAACGGGGTTTACGTGTATAATTAAGTGGTGCAGAGGAAGTGACTTTGCCGTCAGTGTGAATATTTGCTCGGAAGTGGCTATTAGCATCCACTTAATTATAACCCCATCGATGACCACTTCAAGTGAGAAGACAAATCATGGCGATTGCTGAAGTCATTGGCTTACTTAACTTAATCTGAGCCATCGGAAGCCTTTCTCAGTATAAAATTACTCGCAGCTTAATGGGGTTCACCAAGTTTTGTTTTGAGCAGACCTGCTTGACCAAAAACCCGTGACTTATAAAATAACAAATTCTATACTTTAAATGGCACCAATCAGGTGATGACTTTTTTCAGAAGACTTTTTAAACAATGCAATGGTTACTCGTAAATACCAACTTTAGAAATATAAAATTCTATCTAGTTTTCTATGATTGTACTCTGCATATTCCTTCAACTTTGCGTCGTGATGTTCCCGGAAGCACTCATTGTTTCACACTAAACTTTAAAGGGACCATCGTTAGATCGTGCTACCCAATTAAAGAACAGATGATTATTTCGCCGTTTACTATTTTGGCTTCAGCGAAGAGAATGGGGGTCAACCTTTTTTTGTAAAAAAAACTGTGATTTTTGGAATATTCTCATTCCTTATATTTCCAAATAAACAATCCAACTGTGGCTGTGCCGTTAAAACAGCCAGGTGCACCTCATTTGTATTCGGTACCGAAAAAACGCACAACTTACCTTGAGCCCTAAATAGTTATTCTTTTGTAGTAAAAAATGTGATCCAGCCAGGCTTTTATTCGTACCAAGGCGTCTTCCACTAATTTTCGAAGCCCACGGCAACAGGGTGAAGCAACAACTTCAGAGTCACCTTTCTGCTGATATCACCCATGCATCACCACAAAACAAATCCGTAAATCTA